CCAATTAGGAAATTGGGTAATCTCATAAAGGAATATAGAATGTGACAAAACAGTCTAACTGTATTATGATTATATGAGACAACCTCACTAAAGAAGTTGGGGGGAAAAGCGTTTACCTAAGTAACTTTGGAAATTAGTGGAGTTTGTAAAATGAAAGCCAAAAGAATCTGTCTGTAAGCATTGCCCTGTAGTTGATAATGGTGTTTACCAAAGAAATACAGATTAGCAATTCTTATACTGCTGTATATGTATAATGAAATTAAACAACGAATTAAACCTATGGCAAAAAGAAATACTATTTTACAAAGTTTCAGTATTAGGCATATTCTGATGTTAGGTACTTGTTCATATGTGATAGTTGTCTAATTTCATTCTAAGATTCTTTTATTTTAAATAAATTTAAAGTATTATTTTGAATAATGTTTCAAATAATGAATGCTCAGAGAAGTGTCTTTGAAGCTACCCTCTCTCAAATTTGGGTTTGTAGGAACAAGCTCAGATGTACTTATTCCCTTACACTGCATAAAATAAAGAGGGGAAGTTAAGTTGTTGCCTGAATAGCTTTATTTAGAAAAAGTATCTGTAAATTCAGTCCCTGTAAACACTTGGATATGACAGAAGTAGTCAAGAAAAAAATTATTTAGAATTGGTTACTTAAATCTACTGTGATTTTTTTCCCTAGTTTTTACTTGCACTCGCCCCAAGAATTCCTAGACATTTAAGGATGTTGAAGAGAAAAGTTAAAATGTAAACAAGTTGGTGTAAGTAAATATAAATAGATAAAAGTGGATGACTATGAAAATTATATACTGAAGATTATCTGGGGATTTTATTGTTGTTTTACATATATTTCCATAACCATAGATGGTTAACAATAAAGAAAATAAAGAGTTCCTGTAGTAAAACTGAGACAGGATTTTTATTTTTTATTATAAAGATGTGGGGTACGTTTCAGGGTTAGATATACAAACGTTGATCAGGATTTTTTAAATTCAGTATTGGATTTGATATTTGGATAACACTATTTTTATTTCTTTAAAAAAAACAATGTTTCTCTAAGTTGTTCCTAACTTCTAGTGACAAACTAATAATCAAGGCTTCAAAGAGTTGCATAATTTCTTCACAAAATAATATTTCCTGATGCATTGAATTCAACATTTCTATTGCATCCCTACTATGTGAAAGGCACAGTGATGAATGTTGGTTGAGTTGGAGCAGTTAAAGTCTCTTTATCTCTAATACCAAATAATTTCCATAAATGGATACTTTTTTGTAAACTGTGTTTTTATGAGACTGTGTATTCTATGTGTATATTTTTCCACTTAGTTTCTCAACTTACTGAAATGTTCAGGGTTTTCAACTAGAATAGCAGGGTATCTGTTGATGGCTATCTCTGTGCATTCATTGTTTTCTATATTCTAGAAATAAAAGTGTGTTTAACTTATTGTTGTCCACATTCTGTCCCTACAGATTATTTTGTCAAGTGCTTTCTCCAACCTAATTTAAATGATTTATAATATATGGCCTTGAGTACAGCCCTTAGAAGAGAAATATGTACCACATTATGGCCCACTTATCTTATAAATAGGAGACGCTTCCGGATGGGCAATGTAGAGTTTTCTTCATTCAGATTTCTTTTACTGCTTCAGAACACATTGTCTTACTCTATCTGGAATAGTCATTTTTCTTCTGGGCAATAAATAAATTTCAAATGCTTCATCCTAATTCTATTTTCTTGAAGGCAAGTTTTCTTAATTTAGACTTTTAATCTTTCCTTTCATCATCAATACTATATTTTGTTTTATTACTTTTATCTGAATACCTTCATCTGTGGAGATGCTTTGATGAAATTAAATGATGGTGAAATTAACTGGAACTCTGGCTAGATGATTTGTCAAATCTGTACAATCTGTCTCTTGATCTCTTTCATCCCTTTTGTTGGGCAAATCTATTTTGCAATTGAGAATATCCTGGAGAAGTTACAGCCAACATTGTCTTCTAAGATCCATGTAGTCTTTTCAGCCCAAATTTGTGTATATGACACACTGCCATAAAACAAAATCAAAGCATATCCCTTTATCTAGGAACTCCCAATTCACATCTGCTGCTATCAATATTTATTGAAGTCCCTCTTACTGAGGTATTTCTCTTCAATAATATTTTGGTCAAGTTGTATAAAAACTGCCAGATCATGTCTTCCATGATGCTTTACTTTATCAATGCATCTGCAGGTTATTCTCTTGGAATATTATTCCACTTGACTTTTCTCCATACTCTGTACTAAGTTAAACAACAACAACAAAAATTTACCTCAAACAAACAAACATTTGAAACCAGTCCTACATCTTTCTGATCAGAATAAAAGTATAGCCTTGCTACAATAATGGAGTCTCTTGACTATGGAAATCTTGCAAACACTTTATATCTTATCTTGAAGGACTACTCACCCATTTCTGCAATACCATGGGAAGTATACAGCAAATTTATTGTTAGAGCGGGATGCTATTTTCATGAACAGTGTCAAGAGGCTAGATCCCAAGACCAGAAATGATCTGATCCTGGCATTTCACCCTGTTTCAAAGACAATTTTATCATTTTAACTAATAGCACACTAAAGGCATTATCACAATCAGTCATGCTAAATTCACCTAAAAGGTCAGCACAGTTCACCACTCTGCATCCTTTTGATGCAGCCTAGTTTTGCATTGGGTTCCTGAAGTCATGCCCCATTTCCAAATATACAACAGGTAATTAATAAAAAAAAAATGCCAGTAGATTATAATCTAAATTCAGTTTGTTTTGTTTCAATATTTAAAAAGTGTTTAACTCCATTTTCATTTGAATACCTTAATTTGGGGAAAAGTGTGTCTTCTTTCTTGGATAGTAAACATTTTGTTTATTGGAAGAATGGACAATTGTATCATTAATCTTAATGACCTTTAAGTTTTTGAGAGGTTAGATTACCTAAATATATTTCTACATAATTATCATTTTTGAAATGAATAAAAAATTGTAAATGACTAACATATTCCCTACAATAGGAAAACCAGGAGATGCCTAATTTATAAAACCAAATGGGATTTTTATAAATTATTTAAAAAAAAAAAACAAGGATAAGCCAACTAGTCAATGATCTAATATGTAAAAATTGAGAGAAAACATACCTTCAAATGGCCACTAATTATGCAATCTGATACAATAAAAGCTGCTGAATATGGAATTTGGGTTTAGACATAGAATTGTAGAAATTAGAATAAATAACACAGCTGTCATCAACATTTATTGGAGCCCTTGTTACTGAGGTATTCTCAGGAAAATATATTCAGAGTATCATTACTTTTTCTAATAAGTACAGAAAAAGTTAAATATAGGGAAATACCCTTTTTTTCTTTTGATATACACAATTTTTCTTTTCTTTTCAATTCTTTAAAGATATTGTTCAAATGTCCTTAGCATTTATTTTGAAGTGAAAGATAGAAGTTATGCTGCCAAGTCCATAATCAGTTTCAATGCAATAGCTTCTGTGTTTCAAACTGCTTTCTAATCTGCCAATTTTGCTTACTCTTAAATTGTGATTATTGTAATACACTTATGTATTTAGTAAGCTAAAAATGACAGGCTTAGCAATAAAACTGAAGTGGCTTAAAACACTTTCTTTTAAAATCCCAAATTAGAAGTCTTGTTTATCTGCGTATAGAAGGAGGCTTTGAGTTCTACCCATTTATTATGCCATGATTTGCAAGCCATTATCTTGAATATTTAGTTTTGCTATATTATTTTCTGTGAAAAGAGATAGCTTCACTTTTCATATATTCTACTAGGTAGTTGAAGTCCTGGCTTCTATGTGGATAGTTTCAGGACCTGCCTACTCTTCAATATCACCCATTACTTTTTGTTTGTTTGCTTGCTTGCCATAATACCAACTCGATAACTTTGAGTATTTCATATTAAACTTCTAAATCTTCATTTGGGAAAAAAAACTTTAGTGCCCTATGTGTTATTCTCACATCTGTCTGGTTTTCTTAAAAAAGAAAAAAAAAAGGGCTTATATGCTATACAAAGCTATGGCTATAGCAGAGTTACTTGTGACAAAAACATTTGATCATTTAGCATCACTGGGTCACATAACTTGAACTCTGAGAGTGGCAGTACATTTCTTATGATTGCAGAAATCTTGCCATTTCATTTTCTACAGTTCTGAAGTTGGGCTCTGATGACTTCTTTTAGGTGTATATTATATTTGGTACATGCAGTAAAACTCAGTCAAGACTGTCAGTAATTTTTTAGATAGAAAATACAATTTTAAGAAAAGGATTCTGAAGGCAGAAAGAGACATTGGCTATTGGCTTATTCTTTTAAATTATGTCAATCGTACAACCCACCCTTGGGTGCAAAAAGGAAGAGTAAAAAGAGATTCAGCTCTAGCAGCAATGAATGCATTAGTCCTTCAGTGAAACTTCCAATGAAAGAGGTAAGTATGCCTTTAGTAGAGTACCATGTATTGGCTGGAGGTGCACAGGCCAAGGGCTCGGTGAAGGTCACACAGCAAGGCTATGGAACTTCCAAGAAAGTCATCAGGGATCCCCACATACTGTTCCAGGCTTTAAGAGCTGCAGCCCTTGCTTTCTTTCTTGGTGATCTTCAACACTTTTAATAAGGAATTCATCCCTTTTGGAGCCTCCTACAATTGTCCCCCACAATGCCTGACAAGGCAGAGTGCTTCTTCATCCTCCTCCCAGATGGAGAGAGCCAAATATTTTCTGTGGAAAGAGATGGCTTCGCTTTTGCTCAAGAGCCGAGGAGGAATCCAAACAGCTGGGTTGCTAATGCCAACAAAGCCCACACATGTCTCTTTCAACACCTGATTCCTTCGTATGCTCTTTTCTCCCCCAATTGCCCATTCCCTCTTCCACCTCCCTAATCCCTTCCCAAGTAGGATACTTTTTTTTGTCCCTTGCTCTCTCTCTCACTCTCTCTTTTCTGTATCTCTCGGAAATCAGACAGGAGTTCAGAGCACTTTCACTACCTTTTATGAGGTAGATTGTGATGTCATAGATGGGGGCAGGGCTAGTCAACTTTCTACCCACCTCCCAACCTGTGCTGAGGGAGCTCCGATCGGGAGTGGAAGCAGTGATTCCTCCATGGTGAGTAATTTCACTTTCTAATCTAATGTCTCTCACTGTAATCATTAATTCCAAAGGAAGGGTGGATTGGGCTTCCGGGAAATGAAGACGTGCCCGCTTAAGCCCTCTTACTATTAACCAACTTGGGGCAAAGGACCTATATATTTATTCTTGACATGGGTCAGGAATTCCCCAGCACAGATGAACTCTTCGATTATGATCTAAACTTGAGAAGTGAAAATGGTATTTGTCATTCCTTTATTTCTCAGTCTTTCTTCCCATTGGGACTGAAAGTCGTTGCATATGTGGAATGAATCCATACTGTAGTGTTTGTGAACTTCTCTAAGGAAGGCTAGTCAGAAGGAGGTATTCTTCATTTGGAATATTTCAAAGTCACAGAGTATCCTTTACTGATGCTTGCCCAGAGAATTAGTGGGCTCTTGTAAAATTGTGAGGGTAGAAATGTAAGGAAGCTGATACATGAGGATTCTCAACAGATGGTTTTGGTACAAAGTAAAACTTTCTAATGTAATGAATAAAATGTTCATTTTTTAAAAAGTCACTGCTCCTGGAAGTGTAAGAGTGCAGCCATATCAAGGTGTCCACAACTAAATTTGCTACTCTTTTGTTGCTGCATGTCATAACACTAATGCTGTTTTGTAAGGTCTCTTGGGTAGTTAAGAGGTATGAAAAATGCTATTCTGTGTTTCATTTGGGTTTTTATTACTGATTAGTTCTTTTGTATTTAGAAATAAAAGACAACTGGAGTGAGCATTTTTCTCCACTTCTCTTTCTTTCCTGGGTACCTATTAAAACTGTCAAGAAGTAGTATTTGGATTAAAAGGCAAAGGGTGTTCATGGAGGTGGTTAATTCTTTAAGGGATATTGAACAATGAGGGTGGGAGTTTTCAAAAAGGGTTTGACCTTCAGAATGTGAAACTCTGTTACTTTTCATAGGGTAGGATGAAAGTGTCCTGATGTGAATCATAAGTATTATAAGCTATGTAAAGAGGGTATTACTCATTTTTTGTTCAAATTATGCATCCCTAGTATAAGTAGCCATGTATGAACATTTGTGTTGGAGAATTGGTGTCTGTTTAAAATGAGGAGTCCTTTCTGTCTCATCAACAGCTTCTCTGTTATGCATAAATCCCTGGCCTACAAAGTTATGCACTTTTATACTCAAAAGCTCTAGAGCAGATACCCCCTCTTCAGTAACTTGGGAGTTTGAGGCAGAGGGCAGGGTGGTTCTAAAGTTGTTTTCTTACCTAAGTCTTCTTACTTAAAGTAACTATAATGGTAAAGATTTCAGGCCAAAATAGGAAGATTTGGGTGACAGTCGCCTGCAGCCAACCTAATATTTCAGCGTGGGCAATGATGCCAAAAGTCATATGTGTTGGGTTATCCCTCTCAAGTCTCTGATGTATCTTCCATTAAAAGTACTAGACCCTTGAAACCCAGATAGAAGCAATCCTTCAGTGCCAGAAAAATGTGATGTCTAATCATAGTTCAAGTTTTTAATGTCTTTTATCAACCCCTCATACGGCTGCCAGGTAAGAAATGCTTATATTTTCAAACCCTTGGAACACAATCATCTTTAAATCTCGTGAGTTAAGAACAGTTGTGTCGTGAGCTTGTTCGAATTCAGAGAGTCATGGAATGCCTTGTGCATGCACTTGTTTATCTTCATGTGCATGTTTCATTTTTAGTGATGTTCAGTGTTTTTAAAATCCATTTTGTATGTATTAAAATTATAATTTAAAAATACATACATATATTGTGCTCTAAAGGAGACAGTGAAGTGAAACAGAAGTTGCATTAATTTGGAGTCTGAACCCTGTGATATTAGTCTTATCTTTCTCACTAATGAGTTGGTAACTCAGAGTAAATTATTTAGATTTTGGGGGGCCTCAGTTTTTCTCATCTGTAAAATGATGGGAGATGATCTAAAGTATATATCCTAATGTATCTCTGCTCTAAAAGTCTGGGATTTTATAATATATTTTTGAAGAAATGGTTTATGGGAAAATGATTGGGTAATTGACAAAAGTACAGTTTTTGTGTTGGTCATACAATTATTCAACCCAGAAAAAAAGTCCAGTCTCAAATAAGTTTTAAAATGTGTCCTCTACCTGATGTACTGTTATTTGGTTAATGATATATGTAAGTGAGCCATTTCTTTTAAATGGACAACATCATTTGATTAGCCTGCTAAATCTAAACTTAGAGAGTTATATATGAACTGACATTTGAAGAGAGGTAGAACCAGGGATAAGTAGTTATGTATTGTTTTTAGAAGACGGTTGTGTGTTGTTGTGTTTTTTTGTAACTCCATGTCTTTATGTTATTCTAATTATCTGGGATTTAAAGAACCTTCATCTACTAGGTAACAGATGGAGCTGGTCTCATTGGAGTTCCCAATTTAAAATTATCTATGTAATATTGCAGGAAATTCAATGTGGTATTGGGAAGGGTTGATGAATGGGGAATTGTTGACTACAGATCTGTGTGCTATGGAGGAAAAAAGTGTAAGACCTGGCCCCCTAATTTGAGAGATGTGCAACCTCTTTAGATAGTCTGTACATATGTTAAGTGCCAACTTAGAAATAAATACAGCAAGTGCTCAAAGAACCAGGAAATATTTTTGTGGTCTGGGTGGGCTGGATTGCATTGGGAGAGCCTTGTGAGAAGCTGAGACTTTCAGCTGACTGTGGACAGAATGGTTTGTGTGTTTGTGCTGTGTATATAAGGAGGGCAGGGAAGCATTGCAGGTCTTCAAGACCACAGAATTATATGTGGAGCTTAAGATATCTTGCATTGGACAACCCCTTCAGGTTCTCTCCCACTGTGGGAACTCTTCTGTCCTCTTAATAAATCCTGCTGGCCAGGCTCAGTGGCTCAGTCTGTAATCCCGTGCTTTGGGAGGCTGAGGTGAGTGAATTGCCTGAGCCCTTGGGTTTGAGACCCGCCTGGGCAACTTGGCGAGACCTCATCTCTACAATAAATCAAAAAAATTCGCCGAGCGTGGTAGTGTGCGCCTGTAATTCCAGCTACTTGGAAGGCTGAGGCAGAAGGATCGCCGGAGCCCAGCAGGTCGAGGCTGTGGTGGCTGGGAGCGGCCACTGCACTCAGTCTGGACAACTGAGTGAGATTCCAACTCAAAAATAAATAAATAAATAAATACATCCTACTTTAAAAAAAATATATATATGTATATATATATATTATATATATATATATATCTTGCATTAAGATGTGACAAGTATCAACATCAAAAGTCATTTCTTATAATAATTCACCCTCATATTTTTTCCTGAACCCTTTCCCCATTAATCATATGCTGACTTTACAACATAAGATCATAAGATTTACCTGTTTGGAAGAACTAAGGAGACTGATAGTGAGGGAATTGCAGTTATCCTGTATTAAGGTATAATCAGGCAGCTATTTCCTCAGTTATAGAGAAGTCTACCCGACCACTCACAGTCACAAATATGGGAGAGAAACACATAAATGAAGGGATGAGTGCAAGAGGAAGACTCTAGCTCTGAGATATCCTGATATAAGAAAGAAGGGATCATCATTTGGGGGTTATCGTGAACAGATTTAGAAATATCAGATGAAACTGTTCAAGAGCTAATGAAAGTCCATGTACCCAGAAGGGTTTTATAAAGCAAACAGAAGTTTCTGTGTGCACTGAGCAAAATAATATCAGCCCCTTCACCCTTGAATGACCAATGTGGGTAAGGTTTAAACACTGAGTAAAGCTGCCCATAACTATGCAAGTCAAACTTGCCCCTGTGCTCTTGGAAACAAGTTATTGATTTGGGCATGATTTACCCACACTGACGAAGAAGAGCATTTGCGTTTGAAAGCCTCTCTTTTGCTATAGATTAACAGATTATTTGTAGTTTATACTTTGCATCACTTAGAGGAAACTGTTCATGTGCTCCTTGCCATCCAAGTTCCTTCCAAGTTATTACTTTGGCCTTTCTAAAAGACTGGAATTCTACAAATAGAACTGCTTTACCACCAGATCCTTTTCCAGGTTCTAAGGGTTTAGTAGATAAATAAAGACTTGGTTTAGATCACCAAGTGAAATGTCTCAGTTTCCTTCTGTGACATCAAAATTAACTTCTAGAGCAGCAATCCCAAACCTTTTTTTGGCATTAAGGGGACTGGTTTTGTGGAAGACAATTTTTCCATGGACCAGGGGTGGGGGGAGGATGGTTTTGGAACGATTCAAGTGCATTACATTTATTTTGCACTTTGTTTATATTATTATTATTATGTTATAATATATAATAGAATAATTATACAACTCACCATAACACAGAATCGGTGGGAGCCCTGAGCTTGTCTTCCTGCAACTAGATGGTCCCATCTGGGAGTGATGGGAGACGCTGGTATCCGAAGTGTGTTGCTTATGTCCAGTCTACTCATAATCTCGTTTTGGTTGCTGTCACTCAGAAAACCCTGCTTTGCCAAGATAGGATGTTGCAAAAGTGGGCCGGCTTTTCAGTGCTTATCTGACAGGAGAAGGAACTCAGGTGGTAATATGAGCGATGGGGAGCAGCTGTAAATACCGATGAAATTTTACTTGCCGGCCCACCGCTCACCTCCTGCTTGTGTGGCCCAGTTCCTATCAGGCCACGGACCACTACCGGTCTGTGGCCCAGGGGTTGGGGACCCCTGTTCTAGAGCTTATTATCTCAGGAAATCATTTTCAAAGACTAAATTTGCCTTTTGGGGGTTGATGAAATGGTATGATCAAAGGCAGTTTCACAACGAAGGATTCCTCTCTTAACACTACTTTCTCAAAAAAAAAAAAAATCAACTAGGAGTTAAATAAAATTTTGAGGAACAAGATTATTACAAATTATGAAAAAAGGCTAGAGATACTAGGATTATGTTTGTCCCAAGAGAAGAATGATAAGGATTAACAACTTTTCCCCTCTCCTTCAAATATCTCTGGAGGTCATTTTAGAAATAAAAGATTAATTAGACCTATAATTCAACAA